AGTCGCAGTTGGGATATTGCATCAAAGGATGAGAGTTGAAGAGTTGCCAATTCTGCTCAATTCTGACGTCGGTAATTTTAAGTTGCGAAGTTGTACAGGAAGGTATTAGCAAATATTATAGCAATACCTAATTAAGGGACGTTGCTTTTAAGTTCAAGCTCATCATGAGTTTTGCGCTTGGCATACCAGCAGGGGTGCTTCTCGCCCACCCCCTTTGGCGAGAAGGGGAGTTAGCAGTTCCAGCTGCCCGAGAAGATGGGCCCGTGCCCCGCTGTTGCAATGTCTCGTGCTTGGGGTCAAGATGGTCACCCCAGAGGGCAGTAGATGGGAACGATGGTGATGAATCGGATCTGTCTTTTGTTGCTTTCAACGTATCTTTTTGCTTCAGAATGGGAAGCCCATGCCTGCAATTGATCCAGAAGTCTGTCACCACAACAAATTTCCAAAGGAAAGACCCGATTGAAAGAGGTGGCTTTTCAGAAAGGAGGGACCTAGTTTTTGGCCACACCTGTAGATGTCTTATGATGTTTTTCTTAAACGCAGATCCTTGCACAGAAGATTATGAAGATCTAGCCATGGGTCCTTTACACGTATTCTGTGTTCTTATCTCAAGTGATCCGTGATGATCTATGTGCTTGTCATTTGCACAGGAATGAATTGAAGCTGGTCACCACGCCCTCTGAACGTGGCTGGGCTGCGGTGTAAGCCTTGGCTCGGAACCCTTGAGAGTGGAAGGCGCTGACAGGTGGCGAGCTTCACAGGAGCCAAAGACCGGATGGGTTGGTGCACAGTCCAGATGAGTTGGTCTCGCAGTCCAGAGCTCATCATCTCATTATGCAGACAATCGTCCAAGGACTGGATGGGATGGGAAAGAATGCGGTAGAACAACGCACCACCTCTAAGAGGCGTTTGTTCTACCAGTTTTTGAGTTGGAAGTTGCGAAGAATTGCGTAGATCTCTGTCTTGCCTTCTGCCCGAAATCCACTCATGCCTTGCACGGCCAGCCTCTTTTCGAGGCATTTTCTGAAGTTTGAAGCCCTGCGCTTCTGTCACGGGATCGAGACTTGATCAAACGAAGCCGCCATAGAACCCGCCATAGGGACCTCCATTGGCTTCATAAGCCGCTCGACTTATTTGGATACCTCTGAACTTTTGGACCAGTTTCTCGTCTCTGGGGCCCCGGGTGACACCATGAATTCGCTTCGACCGGGAGAACCGATACGATCGTCCCCCCGAAGCCATCCGCCCGGTTCCGCACGTATCGTCCTACTGCGGGTGCACCGTGGGTGAACGGTTCCGACGACGTGGTGAGTGAACCACGTCTCGGGAGAAGGAAGCTGTGGTTTGAGTTGGAATCACTGGTTCGGTTAGTGGTACTATAGTGGTAAGATGTGAGCCTTCAAACATGTATTGAATGTTTTGTGGCCCAACTCCCTAGCAAAGGCATGACGATCCAAGATCCCAGTGGCACCAGTGGCCAGTTTTGCTCGTCATGACCTCGGGGAAGCAGCTGGAAAGCTAGCAACGATCACCAGCCTGCATGCACTTTCCTTCTCACAGCCTCCATGGACCATCAGCGGGTGCTGGATGGTGCTGGTTGGATGATATCAGTGATATCAGGTGAAGTAAATCACCATGGTAAGAACATCTTTGGTCACTTCTTCACTTGGGGGTCCGACAGAGTATTGTGTGCCATGACTCAATGACCCACCGGATTCCATGGGTCAATGGTGGAGGCGACTGTACGCTACGCACTTGCTCTTATGAGTGGGGCTGCGGGTTGATGGTCCTTCTCCAGGTTTTCGTTTGGTGCAGGTGTCCCTGGCTCAATTTGTTTCAATCGACTAGGAAGATGGAACACCAGTGGGAATAGTATAACTCCCATAAACTCCCTTGGCTTACAGTCAAAAAAGCATATAGAATTGAATTAGGCCCTAATATATTACGTAAGGGTGCTGGCGATACATGTTTCCTGATTTGCACCCGGAGATTCAGGGTATGGGAAGTTCACTCCCGATCAGTCCTCAGGTGCTAGGAATTTGACATTGAAGAATGTGATCGTTGTGTCATTTGTTGTTTGCTTTGCCACTGCCCCTTGTGCTGACACCATTGCGGTGTCTCAAAAAAAACAGCGGATGGTAGACAGCGGATCTGGGGAAGATCATTGAGACACCGACAACGAGTGAACCGACGGCCACGTCCGATGCTGCGCGTCGCCGAAGCTTTTCCCACGACTTCGGGTCGTGTATCTCGGATCGGGTACGTTCGTTGCACTTCAAAGTCCCGCGAATGAGTTGTTGACCTAGGTCAATTGATTTGTTGAATGACTCACCTCCTTACCATTCAAGCAGGAGTTGTCATTGTCAGGAGATTAAAGGAGCTATATAACGAGCCTTTCTGTGTTTGTTTTGGAGGCATCTTTCGATAAGCCCATAAGCCCTATCAAGATGCATTTGTCCCTGGAAGCCTCAAAAACGGGACCTTCAAAAAGGACCACACTTTGGGCGTTGCTCGCTCCTTCTAAGCTCCAGCAAGTGACTGGAAGGCCAGAGCCTGCTCAGATAACAAGAGAAACATTTCGACCCTCTCCCACCACAAGAGTAACTGCCAAACATCCCCACGCACCCTGTGTCCACAACACTTGGAATCAGAGTTTTGCTTGAAGGTTCTCCTGTTGTCCATCTCATTCCACCCAGAACATGAATGAGGATTTCTTAGACCGTCCTGTCCATCCATGTCGGAGCCAGGCTCGCTTCGTCGGACCTCCCGAGCATGGCCAGCATGGCCAAGTCGGTGGGCCGGACACACATTGCTTCAACCTGCCTGAGGCAGCTCGATCGGCAGCGGCGAAACCCGCTTTGCGTTCCCCACTTCAGATGAACAGGGCTGTGGCTGCAGCCAATCTGAGGTGGAAAAAGCTGCGTGATGTTGCGTGAAAGAGAGTTAGAGAGAGAGAGGGGGAGAGGGAGAGAGAGAGGTTTTGTGTGTGGTTTTGTGATGTTGTGGTGTCTTGGAGCGGAGCTGAGTGTTAGGCATGGCCTGCAAAGGTTTTTTGTATTGCCACAGCTTTTGGCCTAAGCTGAACATAGTCATCATTGCTCAGGTTCCCACCCAACAGAGTGATAGACCTTTGACGAGCATCATCCTGACAGCACAAGCATCGCTTGGTGGATTGTTTGGTTACTCGCCTGCGGATGCATCCATGAGCGGCTGAACGGCCTTGCCACGTCAGGCATGAGTGGGACCTGACCGGCCTCAGGGTATCGTTGACCGGCAAATGCGGCGAGATCATGTTGGCTTTCATGATTGGCACCTGGTTGAAACCATAAGTGAATATATTCCCTACAAGTCAAAGACCTCATTTTACTGGGGATGGTCACACAAAACCAATACTTAAGGAGGTAAACGACCAGGTTTTACTGGGTCAGACTGGACTTGTAGGGATTGATATCTATTGATTTAACACATTCCAAGCTTGGAGACTGTAACTTCCGCGGCTCAGTGCAAGTCTTACCAGATGGGCAGAAATCGCCCGCTGAAATCCAGACCTGTCCAAGTCACCGTTTGTCAAACCCAAGCAGCGCGTTTGCAGCACAATCGCATGGATGGAGGTGAAGAGGTTGTCATCCCGAAGAACCTCCCAAACAATGGAGGATGCATCGCCATGGTATCCCATGGCATGACCCATGGTATCCCATGGCGTCCGAGGTTTGCAAGGGCGGTGAAACACTGTAAGATGTGTGGTGCTCAATGGACACAAGAGTCGTTAAGATCCTTGACGTCTTCCTCCCTGGAAGTCCAAGACTATATAAAGAAAGGTCTTCAGGTGACCTGAAAAGAACGTTCCTTTATACTTCAGTCGGTCAAAAAAAAACGTCGATCTGGACTTGATTTAATCGAAATGCCACTTTGATGCCATGAATCCTGTGACTCGTGCTGGTCCTTGGTGTTTGCACCACGGCTGGCGGCGCTGCCTGCTGTTGGGCGAAGAGGGTCCAGCACTGCAGCAACTTCTCCAGAGCCTCGGAGCACATAGACTCTAGACTCTCAAAGGAGCATCTAAAGAAACATAGATGGCATAGAGTATGGCATAGCCTTGATCCTGCGGAAAGGCTGTGTTTTTGAGCGTTTGCAGTATACGGTATACGCATATATAATTTTTAAGCGTTGCTAAGAGCTTGGATTGCTTTGCGAATCGATGAATTCTATAACAGAAGGGAACAAAAACATCAATGACATTTCCCGTGCACATGCCACTCGTGGCTACAAGTCCACTTGGACTCCACGAGTGGCGAGTGGCATGCCATGACCCATACGTTTTTCACCTGGCGGTTTTGGGTCTAAGAAAAGGGGCAGAACTCATTCCGAAGACTTGTGGCCATGTGACCCAAGCAACATAAGGACCTAAGTATGTTGGGGGGGGTCCCAAATTGAAGGGCGGAAAGGAACGAACTTGGATTTTGATCCACCTGTCCATGACTTCACGTTTCAGATGATGGGTCCCTTTTGCTTGGAGTGGCAGGTCGTTGCGCGAAGCGAACCTCTCGGTCCAGCTGCTGCAGCCTCCCTTGCAGCGAAGCTTTGGCCCCAAGTTGGTGGATGAGGCAGGTCCAACGGATGGAGAGCGTCCCACGCTCTTGGCTTCTGAAAGAGATGTTTTGCAACACCTGGAGCACCAGAACGCTCCTTATATAATTATTGTTGGTTTTCCTGTGTTGTGTTTTTCAGGTGGTGTGGGATTCTTAAGGTAGGTCACTCAGAGACTCGGAGAAACCGCTGGTGATAAGAAGGCCAAGCGGCTAAGCAACATGCACTTGCCATTGCAAGAGGAAATTCCGTGAAACGTTTTAAAAACTGCAATGATTGTCAACACTATGCCCAGCGTGGTTGATTGAACTATTAGTTCTGCTCATCATTGAGCTGTCAAACCTTCCGGTGGTGGGGCAACACTGAGCGCAGGTGGCTGATGAAGCGCTTGATGCAGAGGCACAGGGGCTTTGATGAAGACTTGTGGGGCTCTTCGCTCCTGGGGTCGAGTGACTTGGAGAAGTCATGGCTCCACGGAGAACTCCGTGCACGCCAAGGTGGTGCTGGCCGTGGGCCGCGGTGCCATGCTGGACTTCGCCAAGGCGGTCGCGTGCATGGTCCCGCTGCGGGGCGCCTCCCCCGGCCGCACGGGCCGCGCGGGCCTGCTGCGAACGGAGCAGTTCTTGCTACAGACAGGTGGCGAGATGAGCCGAGAGGCCGCGACCTTGCTGCCAGGCGAGGAAGACGATGCATTTGGAAGCTGTGAAGAAGTGGCCCAGGTAGGTCTGTACTCCCCCTTCCAACAAGCATGGAAGCGGACATTCTGGCCCCGAAAGGAAAACGATTTGCCTCTAATTACCAAGAGGGGGTTGTCCACTTCCATGATGGCCATTTCAATCTGTACAGCATGCTCGGTTATATAGATCCCTAGACCTCAAGTCAAACACTTTGCCATATGGGAATCACAAAAATCATCATGAGTATCATCATGCATCCCTGGCCTTCAAAGACCATGTCCAAGAAAGGGTGACCTCGTCTTGTAGTCGTCACTCCTTGGTACAACATGGATCGCTCGGTAGAAACCATTAAGGGTTCATTGGGATATCCTATACCATCTATACCAGGGCCCCCGTTTCGGGGTGTCTAATTATAGCTCCTTAGAGGTTACGGTTTATCCACTCACCACCCAAACCGGGGGCCCTTGAGATCTTGAACTGCCCCACTGTGAGTCCAACGCCGTGCTTCCACCATGGCGCTCTGCTTTGGGGCCCCATGGGGCCCGGTGCTGAAACGAAGCTTACTTCATTCACCACACGAATTCGAAGGAATTGGAAGACGCGTTCCTTCGTTTGCCCCCTCCGAGTAGGTCGTAGGTCATCATAGTTCATCGTATTTGACAAGCATGTTCATCATGTTCATCCCATGTTACATCACGATCTATTTTTTTTTCACATCATATCCTCCCTCCAACAATCATGAAAGCTGACCAGGACCCCGTTGTAGAGGAAAATGGTCTTCCTTTCGGGCCAGAATGTCCCACGTAACATGATTGTTTCAGGGAGTGTAGCACCTCAGGTGCTTCTCTGCCTCTGCTCCTGGCTCCCAGCCACGCGACCGTGGCAGCGACCAGCGGCCGCTGCTTGCTGCGTGACGCGCCGGGCAAAGCACTGGTGCCGCTGGCGCTGGCGGGGCCAGGGCCCTTTGGCGTGGGGGTGGGTATTCAAGCCACTCAGGCGCCTTGGAGGAAGACGTGGCACGTTGGGTGTGAATCCGAGACATGAGATTCTGGAAAGAGGGATGACATGCCGGCCTTTTAAAGGGTGATTGGTGGAAGCAGAGGCCACAGAAGTGGCAAGACATTGAAATACACCTTTTGAGTGGGTGCCATTTGCCTGTGATTGCCATAATGATAATATACTTGAATGTATGAGATAGTTTTGGCTGAGCTATTGAGGCCACTGGGCTACGGAGTGCAATTTAAAAAAACCGTTAAAACAATAACTACAAATTTACAAAAGGACTTAAACTTAAAACTTATATATAGTCCAATTTAGCCTTCAGAATGCTTTGTTATTTTTTTTCAAGACTGCTGCACGTCCGTAAAAAGTGGTGCATGCATGATGTATTATCCAATTGGCCTGTACTGTGCTTTGCAGCCCTGTATTTGACTTGACCCGTTTCCCGTCCCGAGTGCGGCAGCCAGATGCAGCATGATGGCAGAAATCTCTCCGTGCAGCATGACTGCAAAGTTCCGCTCTTCCGACCTACCAATGCTTCAAAGAACAGATTTGCATATAAGGAACAAGAAGCTACTAGGGGCTCCTGGCCTTACTATTTACGAACGGCTCAATAGATGGCACAACCCCCCCAAAAGTGATGTCTTCATTGGTGCTGCACTGGAGGCTCTTGGTAGTAGGTCGCTTCTTTCGCACCTCTCCCCCCGATTCCTCTTTGAGGTGCTCGCAGATGTCTCCCTCACGCGGCACCAATCGGCACGAGGGCGAACGGCCGCGGTGGCCCATGCCATGAGCATTTTCGTGGACGGTGCGGCAGCGGCAGGGGGTACCATCAAGGAGCTGTTTTTTCTGTTTATTGTGTTTGATTTCGGTGATTTTTGAACAAGTGTTTGTCCCAGGGTTGAAATGAGGGAACATCTACATGCTTTTCACCTCCAACAGGGTGGGTTTCCTGTAGATGTTTATAGATTGATTCTTTTGTTTCAGGCTTTTAGGCCTCGTTCACTGGTTTCTTGCGTCAACTTAATGGCAAATATTGGAAAACATGCACATAGGGTTCTAATAATCATGAGTGCTATCGTTTGCTTACGCTGATTGTTGGTTTGCCTTGTGGCTGAATTTCATGTGCACAGAATGTTTGGGGATATTTTGCAGGTTCCTGATCAAATCGCCAGGAGAAGCAGCTCGTGGATGACATGATGGTGGGCACCTGGGATGGTGAGTCACAAAATGAATGATTAAAGATGTACTGTATATAAACAAAAGCAATAAGACGTACAAAAACTATCTCCACAAACCTGTGAAACAACTGGGAATTCATGCATGTCAACGGTGCATCCTGTCCATCTCGTGATTTAAGGCCTTGGCTCCAGCTTCTCGGCCTTGCGACAGCCGATGGACGCCGAGGTGGACGTGCTCGAGGCCGTGCTACGTGCGGGCGTCAGCGCGGCAGATGCCGATGCCAACGCACGAGGGGAACTGTGTGTGGTGCATGCGCTCGCCTCCGTGTTGGTTGCTTGGAAGTGTCCATGATCGAAAGCGTGTTTGTACAAAGGGGGGCTTGCTCAGCTTCCACTTGGCGGTTTGAGGGAGGGTCACATCTTGGAAGAGATTTGACCCTCCATCTCACTGACATGGAAGTGGAAAACAATCCCAACAGCTTTCCGCTTTCCATGTGTGTGGGGATGGTGGTCTTCCATACACCGTGGGGTTGCTGCTGCTAAGGAGATAGCAGTGGAAGAAGGACCAGTTTCAGGCGGCCGTTTCCCCAATCAACTTCAGGGTGACTCCATCAACTTTGGGGTGACGATTGGCTGTTTTGGCAGCGTTGCTTTTCCCTCCATTGATGGACACTCACCAGGGATGCAAAGACAGGGGATGGTCTTGTTAAACTGTTAGTAATTGAGTTTGTTGATGCCAGCTGATGATGAAGGTGTGTACTTTAAGAAGTTTAAAGTTTTAAGAATTGCACCATGTATCGAAGCCCATTCTGGATCATATTGATCAGGAATATATATATATATATACATATTCTGGTCTATGTTGCGCATTGGTATATATGTCTTAGTTACTGGTTGTATTCCTTTTTCAATTTGAGACGGTACAGGCTTCAAGAGGTCAAGCTAAGTACGTTTCTCAGTCCTTGATATCATATCATATCAGGCATAACGGTAGTGACCCGAATGTCTTTGTCCCAAGGCCGGTACTCGCGATGTGCCCTTCCCCTTGGCCTGTCGTGTTCTACTTCCATTAGTCCTACGTGCTTGGGCCGAGCATTCCGAGCTTTGCGAGCCTCAAGTGACCTCCCTCAGCGCCATCGCCTCAGCTCTCCTGGGCACCCCGCAGCTCTCAGCTGCGACGGCCGCGACGGCCCTGCTGCGCCTGGCGGACTGGATCGACGGCGCTTGCTCCGCCGGCGGCCTGGCACCGCAGCTGCCCACAGACGCGGAGGAGTGCGCCGCCTCCGCGGCCGCGCTGCTGGCGATGCACACGGAGGAGGCGCCGGTGGCGCAGCAGCGGCCGAGGCCCAGCTGGGTGGAGCCGGAGGCCTTGACGAAGATCTTCCGGAACGCGCTGGAAGAAAAGGGTGGGGCGTTGAGTGGGGGAGATGGATGGCGGCTGGCGTGATTGGAGGGGAAGATGGAAGCTGACTTTGACAAAAGATGGACGAGGGATGATTGCCCATGTGGAAGGTTTGGAATGTTTCTTGCAACTTGTGTGTCTATCCGCAGGCTGTTGCCTCAACCATTCGACGACAAAAAGGATGAAAAAGGTCACATTTCGTTCGACCAAGGGCCAGCGATGGATGACAAAGCAGTCCATTGTTTGTAATTAGTCGATAGCAGACCTGCGAGAACTGATCAAAATGGGTTGCTTGCCCCTACCACTTTGCCTCCCTGCCTGTAGCTGTTGATCCACATTTCCGCGAAGCCCCACTTGTGTCCAAATCTGGTGCTTCTCCTTGCCGCCATGCACTCACCCCCAAGAAAAAGAGAAACACACAGTCCATAATATCATGCCCAGACGCTCCAAACAGCCCTTGGTCCCTCCATGTGAGGGTCCAGGAGCGTTTGGGCATCATCACATTCCATTCCAATCCCTGTTTTGAGCATTGCACTCCTGATGGCGCTTCGCACCAGTGTGGTGCCACGAGCTGACAGACCACCTGCAGCTTGGCGTGGACCAGGTTGCTCGGGCACCAACTTGAGGGATGATCTAAGCTGGGTTGATACATGTTGTATGATGAATGCTGTTTCCTCAGGTTGGATGTATGTTGGATGCTTGGATCTTCCCCCAGGTTTGTTACTTTGGATCGTTGGGATATCCAAGGCCAGTTGGGCTGTGAATTAAGGGGTCGAGAGCAACCTAGCAACCCATCCTGATCCATCTTGGTGGTGAGGAGTTTTTCCTTGATCGATTTGCTGGAAAACCCAGGCGTTCCTTGGATCCCAAGAACCAAATCACGACATCAAACAACACATGCTATTTGGGTGCTGGACATGGAGGATGTTCAGGGCTTTAAGAAGATCCGCTCCAAAACCCACTGTGATTTGGTTGAAGGTTACATATTGTTCAGAAAAGATACTGTAAAACATACAGTAATCAGTAAAATATCATGCCCATAGTATCAAGACTTGCTCAGATCCCACCCTCTCCTGGCTCTCAAGACTTGCAGTGTTGGATCGAAAAACGGAGAATCGACCGGCACCCGGTGAATCGACCGGAGCGCCTCCACGTCACCCACCCAGGTCATTCCGCCCTCCCTGCGCCGAGACGCAGCGCGAGACGTGGCCACACCAGTCCGCCCGCAGGGCGCGGCGGACGAGCCGCCGGCGAAGCGGGCGAAGCGACGGTGCGGAAGCTGGAAGATGATGGAAGATGTGGGAGGGAAGGATGATGAAAGATGTGTGGCCTTCAGAGGGGGATACATTGTAGGTAGAGGGAGCAAAGAAAGAAGCCGGCATGGTTTCTTTTTTGGGGGGGGGAGATGGTAGGGAGCTGGGAGGACCTGGCAGGATAAGGTATACGGTATACAATTTGGTGGCATGGTCATTTCATTCTGTTGAAGAAGGCCAGGAGCTTCGGCTTCGCTTCTCCAAAGCACTTGATAGGGGATTTTGGTGTGTGTACACTCTGACGAACACATCACATGGAAGTGGATGGCACACCCTGTTGATAGAGGAAAGTAGTCTTCCAAGTGACCTAGATTCTAGACGATTCCCCTATCAAGTGATAGCCATCAAAGCTATCATCTACAGCTATCATCCCCTATCATCCCCTATCTAATCATCCCACACCTATCATCCCCTTAGTGACAGCCATCCACCTACCTATCAAGTGATGATTAGAGTGATGGCTGCGATGTCACCAGCGCGGAGAGACACATGGGATACGACGCGTATGTGTAGTGAAGACCAACCGGCACGTGGCGATCACAACGAAGACGCAAAGGGTTTGGGCTTACAATGGCTTACACCTCACATGGCAATTAGGAAGTACAGTTGTATTCGAGTGTTCAATATTCTTCAATGCCATTCCCCCAGTTTCCATGTCAGTTTTGCGGTGAATCTGTTCATTGGAGCTTCCCCATTGATGTCGCTAGATTAGATTGGTTTTAATGGAGAAATCGATACGACCTCAAAGAAAAGACCAATTGGGTTGTTGGGGTTGGAGTGTTGATCATGTTCCTCAATCTCAATGATGGCATCAACTCCATTGCAGCATCCCTGCTTGTAGATGATGTCCCTACGACTGCTTCCGTCATCGGCGGCCAGGAGGAGTGCGGCCGAAAAGCTGTTGGCGAGGGCCGAGCTGGAAGCGAAGTCCAGGACGGGCGAAGCCCGGCCCTCGCATCCCTCGCATCGTGCATCGGTGTGCATCGAACTCACCGATACATGTCACCCCAACGGCAAACGAAGGGTCTCCGTCAAACGGCAAGAAAGTCACATTTTTTCAGAAAGTTCATGGTTTGGGGGATGCCACACTTTGGGAGGATGAAAAGGATTGAAAAGGTCCGCGTTGACCATAGTGAGAAAGGGAGGAAGAAGAATTCCATTTGACCTCCATTTTTTACACAGGGGCTCCCACATGTGAGCTCATTTCATGGAAAATGCACTTGAATGTTTTCATATGTCTAGAAGTTGTTCATCCACGCGGAAGCCGCTGACGTCGTCCACCCCGCCACCGCGGTTTGCTGCCTTTGCTCTTTGCTGCCTATCTCAGGAGCACCGAGGTAGAGGCACCTCAATGGCCCGAGGCTGCTCTGCTGGGCCAGGAACTCTTCACCAAGGCCCTGGAGGCCTCCAAGGGATTCCAGGCGCGGAGCGGCCTTGGTGTTCAAAAGGATTTTGATTCATGGGCTGCATCTACCAAATTCTTTTGGGGGTGACTCAACTCGTTCCAATTCTTTCCGGAATACTGATGCTTTGCTCGCTTTGCTCCCTCACTTCTTTCTTCAACTATAGTCCTTCACCCAAGGCGCAACGGTCTGAACTGGAAGGATGCATGAGTTGGAGCCACCCACCCCTGCAGGTGGCTCCCCCAGTGGGGCGGCAAGCCGCGCTTCATTTGGCCTCCATGACCGGCTCGACTTTGAGGTAGCAGACGGGAAGAGGAGTGGCAAAGAACATCAAAGAATCGTGAACTCATTATGAGAACAGGGCAATGCATCTCGATCCGGAAGCAGCACGGCCTGTCTTAGGCAGCGCTGGATGAACTTCGAGAACTGATGATTCTTGGGACGTCCCGACGACCTTCACGTTTAATAAAAACCTGTCCATGTCGTTGGGGCCTTTGCAGCGCCGATAGCGTTTGAGGATGGCACAGAATGGCCGTTGCAGTAGATGACAACATATTCAAACCCTTACGTAAGTAGCAAGTCTGCAGGTGTCCCCACTTGGCACCTCATCATTTGGAGGTATCCAAAGAGCGGCCTCTCACGCAACTCCCACACCAGTGCATTGGTCTTCTCTTTTGAACGCCAAAGGTGCGAGAAAGCACAGCTATCTTGCAAGACCTTGATGTTTTGGTTGTTCGGTAGTAATGCAGACTCTTGACTCTCGATTAACTCAGAACACTCTTGCCAGAATTGGCCGTCAACAGAATGGCTTTGTATGCCAAGCTACTAAGCTACTGTTGTCCCTCACGTGGCAGGTTGGCTTGGTCGCTTGGGCTGTTGGACTCCTCGCCTGATTGGCAAGGGCTTTTCGAGGACGGCAGGATGGGGAGGCAGGAGTTTTCCAGCTCAAAGGCTGGCTCAAACGGGGGCAGAGTGTAGGCAAGGTCTCCAGCCCGACATTTTCGGGCAGGATTTGGCCTTGCACTCGGTCAAGAAGTACGTTAAGGCCAGCGGCCGAACGAATCCAGTTAGCCACATGCTAGTTGCAAATCAAACAAGTAAGCTAAAATTATATACAGAATATATCATGGTAGTCAAACAGGTCGCCGTCGGTGGACTCTTGGCTTATTCTGTTAATTTCTGTTCTTTGTAGGCTGCTTGCTACCCTGCACCACTTCAAACATGGGGGTGCTGCCAAATTTATGTTGTGTGTTTCTTCTTAATACAGCACGAACCTCTGCGGACAACTCGGATTTCGTTGGATTTTCACCACTGGTCGACTGACAGAAGATGATGTTGCCAGATCAAGCTTACAACGTCAGAACTGAATCTTGTGGTTGTTCCTAAGGAAACATCTGGAAACAGCGACTTCTTGCAGATCTCCGTGGATCCACCGTCCTCGCCCACCGCTCCCACCGCTCCCAAGCCAATCTGGATCCCTAGGAACCTTCCACTTCGCTCTACGGAGCGATGTGCCAAACATCCGACTCAACCTGCGTCGTTCCGGGATCCCAAATGGGGTTTGGTTCACTGGGACCTTCCACCTGGAGTTGCTTATCAAGCCCGGCGAGAAAGGTTGGAGATCAAATGGAAAGTGTTCAGATTTTTTTTTGGGTGGGTGACGGAGCTGGTGTTGGGTCTCTTTTTCGCGCCTTCCTGGCATGTCCGTGCCACACATCCGCGAGGAGAAACTGTTCGAGGCTCTTCAAGTCTCCAACTTGGGATTCCTCTCTCCGGATCTCCAGCGCCAATGGCGAAAGCCCAAGGCCCTGCGGTTCATCCTCGGCGGAGAATCAGTGGGTTGAGTGCTCGCCCAATGGTGGGCTGTTCCATCATGTAGCATCGCCATCCATCGCCTCTTTGTTCGTTGTTCAGAGCACCAGGGTTGGGGTCGTGCACATGCAGCGTTGCATGACAGACTGGTTGGAGTTTATCGGGCTCATCTCGAGGCCCCACGGGTCGTCTCCTTCAGGATCGATCTCCGTTTGGGTCGTTCGTGTCAGTTCGTCTAAGTGCCCAGCTGCCCAGCCATGTGTAAGTGCCAGAATCCCATGCTGGGTGAATGTCCATGAGATGTGCCTACTTGAATTTATCAAGATACCCTCCCGGAAATTATGATGGAAGTGGAACTGGCCCTTTGAACACCTTTTTAAATTACAAAGAGGTTGCTTTCCGCTTCCATGTGATTATTTCATATTATGTCAGGGGAGTGTAAGTAAGTATTATGCTAAGCATTTCTTCCTGAAACCATTTGGAACTGAAGCCCCGCTCCGAAGTCGGTGTACAGGCT